AAAGAAGAAGGGGAGATAGGACGATAGATGTTTGATAGGAAATAAGAAGCAAACCACACCAGAGCACCCGCCAACCACCCACGCTCATTAGTTCTGCACTCCGTTGGATGACGGAACAGAATTAAAACTGTGTCGGCAAGAAGCCAACGAAACTAGAAAACATGGAATTAAGTCGTTTCAAATCCATGTGAGCCGTTACAAATGTGTCTCCTGGGGCAGGTTTCCTTCGTTCTTAGATAAAGAATTTCTTTTTTGGGCACATGTCTAGACACGGAGATGTGCCAATTTGATGGAAAAGCATGTCTATAAAGGAGAAAACAGGATCAGATCCAATCTGGCAAAGTCATCATTTAACAAGAAGCATACAAGTCTATGCTTAGAACAAAAATAGTTGGCATCGTGGTGAAATCAGGCGCTCGTCAAAATAATGAAATCGAAAAAACAAAAACAAAAACAAAAACAAAAAAACTAACTCGGAATTTTCTCTCCGGTTAAGCGGGTTTTAATCGAATTTCTTTTTCCCAGCTTAGCACCTGTTGTGTATACGTAAAAACATATTTCTGTGTGGATTTTTTAAAAACAGGAAAACGTTGATCAAAGGCACAAAAATGTAAATTAGCAGTTTCAAAGCACTCTCAAGCTTTGGAAGTCATATTTCATCTCTGACACAAGATGACCCCCACCTCCTTCAATCGCAAATATCTCGGCTTCTATTCAAGATGAATGGGTATTTTTTTCATCAAAAGCAAGATAAATAAGCTTCAAGATTATACCAATAACTCAACACGCCCAAGAACTGACGAGCGCCTGATTCCAACGCGTCGTGACACAAATATAGTTGGCCTGCTTTCAACACGTTCTAGAGATAGAATGTTAATATTTTAAAGTCTGACACACAAATTGTGATGTTCAAGGACACACATAGCATATGTGTTAAGACGCCGTTGAATATATCAGGGGCTCGTCAATTTTTGGGCATGTGGAGTTATTGGTATCATCTAAAAGCTTATTCATTTTCCTTGCTTTCAATGAAAATAAACGCCCATCTATCTTGAATAGAAGTCGAGATATTTGCGATTGAAGGAGGTGGGGTCACCTATTTTCAGTGATAAATTAGTGAGAAAATGGCCGGGCACATTTCAGTAACTTCAATAGCTTGTGAGTCCCTCAAAACTGAAAAATTACATATTTTGTGCCTTTAATCAACGTTTTTCAGTCAAATTCACATAGAAATGTGTTTTAGTATGGACATAAAAGTGTTCAGCCAATAAACAAAAATTTGATAACATTTGTCAAACTGGTGGAAAAATGCCTGTTTCTGTGATTTTATTATTTTGACGAGCGCCTGATTTCACCAACATGCCTCACATATTATTGTGTAATGTCACGCGCGTCTGTGGTGTTGTGGTTAGGCATGCGGGAGTCACAGGCTCGATTCCCGAAAGGGGAGACATTAAAAAAATATGTTTCTCAGTCTTTCTGCAGGGATGTTGTATCACGTTTACTCTGGATTACCCCTGAGAGACTGGGTCGGAAACCGCCTCTAAATGATTTAATCTACAGACTTCAACATAAGTTAAGGACCACTTGCAAACACTTTGAGTGATGTTCTTTGGTCGACCTGTACGTGGTCGTTCTTGGACAGATCCAGTGGCTTGATGGCGCTGCCTCAAGAGGACAATGATAGAGTTTAGCCTTCTGACAACTTCTCGGGCTTCAACTCCATCCTGCATCCTTGCCATACCTCTGGCACGATCAGTCTCTCAGCTTTCGTCTTGGTGGCATGTTGATGCGATACTGGATTTCACGTAAACGGCGGATTATGTTGCCACCAATGTGAGACCGTACGTCCGTTTATGATGCGGCCCAGAAATTTTAACTGAGGAACGTCCATGGTGTGGCACATGAGTCGATAAAAAACCCAGCAAATTTGGCTAAAATTCCCCGAGGATTTCCGTGCTGTACGTGGCGGTTTTGCCCCTTTAGGAAGCTTTGCAGTACGCAGTGGTAATCCATTAACACTTTCGGAGCAAACATTTTTTAAACATTCTTTGCTGTCTTTTTTCGGATGAAAAAAAATCACGGTTGTCTGTCAAGGTGGTCTTTAACTTATGTTGAAGTCTGTAAGTCGATGGGGGCGTAAAAACACTTATACTAAAAAGAAAAACAAACCACCCCTTCCTCATTTAAAGACTGGTCAGTCACCGACTGTGTCCAATGGATTGTTAATGTTTAAAGCTCTCGATCGTAGACGTAATTCGAGTTGTATAAGAGGTGTTCGTATCAAGGTGGGCTGCTTAAACCTTGCCTAACAGGCATGGGTGTGATACAGCATCAAAGTACGAGAAAGACGGAGATACTCGATGAAATACACTTCCCCACCCATCTGAGAACCAAACTCACGCCTTTTTCGTGATACAGCGTAGAGACTAACTACTATACAGTGCAGTAAACATGTGTCTCGGTTCTAAGAAAACAAAACAAAACATTACCCCCCCCCC